ACTGCTCCTGCTCACCCCGCATCCACATCACCCACACGGGCTTTGGGTAGAATCCTGAGACGTGGCACACCAACAGCAGATGGCCAGGCCCAGGACTAGGGCCACTGGACAACCAGGCCTCAGGCTTCACTAAGACAAGAAGAAGCAGAGTCATATTATGACTAGAATTCAGAACTTAGGGACTCAGAAACCCACAACTTTGGACAGTGACCCCTTCCACTTCTCTGAGAAGCAGTTAACTTGTTTATTAAGCCCCTGTCCTTCTTGGATACCAGATGTGGTGGAAAGTGAAACAGAGCAGAACTCACCTTGCCTTTGTAGATCTGCCTTCCCTGCATCCAGGACGCCTAGAAGATACTGGGGGCAGGTTTCGTAGAGGAGCTTTTTTCCAACATTCACGATCCCTTTATATTGCATGACTAATTTGCAGAGTCTTTGTGCCCTGCTGCCACCTTCTGGGGCAGGCACACATGACATATTCTCAACGCTCAGGAAATCCAATCCTCCTAAAGCTCCCCTCAAGAAGCTTGCTATGGCACCCCCAGAACGTAGCTCACAACCTGCTATGCCCTGGATCTCAAAGGGGTCTAGGTGGAAGGAAAACAGAGAGCAAGTTATTAAACACAATTAGGGGAAAAAGCATGAGAACAGGATTTTAGATTTTGACAGGGATGGAGTTCTTGGAATTGAAATGGTGAGCCCCAAGCCAATTACAACATTTAGAAGTTTTCTGAAAGAAAAGCATTGGGGAAGGAGTGAGTTTCATGAAGGCAAAGATGTGTGGTGACGGTGTTGGTGAGTAAGAGGGAAGAGGAGAAGTGGAGTGTGATGCAGTCAGGAGTGCAGCACCCAGAGTGATCTGAGGTACCCCAGAGAGACGAAGGCTCAGGGAAGACACAATTAAAGAGAAAGATTAGAGGAGGAAGCCACACTGTGGTTACTGAGGCACAGGGTGGGAATAGTAAGGGCCCTTGCGGAGAAGTTTCATGCAAGACAAACCAGAAGTTTGTTTTAAAATGAGAGGCTGGTCTTGTCAAAGTAGAATGCAGAGGTAAAAGTCTGAAACATATTGTAGAGGTATGGAACACAAGAAGATACTACTCTAGAAAGGTATGTGCATGCAGTTGGGCAAAGAAAAAAAGGGGGAAGGAACAGAGAAATTAGCAGCTTGTAAAAAGTGACCCAAAAAAGTCAATAAGAATCTTCCCAGTTAGGAGACTGGACTCACATTCCAACTGGTATTCACTGGCATGGTCCTGCACTTCTCGTATGGATTCAAAGAGGTAGATTCTGATTATCTCAACCAACTCATCAATCTCCTTGTCACTGAAGTTGCCCTTAGACCAGGGCTTCAGGAATATGGGATCGGCTGAGTCACTATCCCAGCCATGAATCTGCAAATCATCCAACCAGCCTGATCCTTGATTTTGTGCCCAGGTGCTATTGAAAAAGGATGCGATCTGGATGAGATGGAAAGAGATCGGCTTCTGGAATGCTACCAAGAGAAGAGGAGAAAGATGGTGAAAAGAATGGGGAAAGCAAGAGGGAACAAGAAAGAATAGAAATGGAAGCAATTTAGAGAAAAAGAATCCAGTCTCAAGAACACACAAAGCCTGACACATTTGACTGCCCCAGGGCTTCAGGCCCCAGCCCCAAACCCAGGATGGTGGAAAAGGACTGGACACAAGAGGGCCCAGATCCTCAGTGTCCACATGCACCTGGGTAATTCAACCTGCTTTTAACCAGACCCTGCATCAGTGCTGGGAGCTGCCAGAGAGACTCTTACCATCCTCACTGTCACCGCCTGGAAAGAGAACTGCTAACAATTGAAATGGCAGAGGCAGCATTTCACTAGGAGATGCAACTTCTGACTTGCAGAGCTGGTGTTTGATCTCTGATTTCGGCGAACGTTTTCTCCTCCGTGCCTTGTGGTGACTTCCTCTCTCTCCTAACTGACAAATCTCTTCCTCATCCAATCTGCATTTCAGAGAAAAATGTGTCCCCACAGTCCTGAACCTCCTACCTCCCCTCTCATTTCCCTCCAGCCCTGACTTCTAGACTTTCCCTTGGCTCTCTGACTTCTAGCTGTCTCTCTCTCTCTCTCTCTGCCCTTAGCAACCTTCATACCAACTTGGAAAAGTCCCTGTGCGATTCAGTAAGGTCATTCCAACTTCCTTAGCCTTTATTCCCACATCTATAACAAACAAGGGTCCTACAGAAACTTCCTCAGCTTCCAGTCGCCTTTAACCTAGAACGAAGCTTTGGTTTATCCACACGATTCAACCTTCCTCCCTTCCCACTGCCATCTTTGGTCCTCTGTCATTGCCCCTTCCCAATGTACGCAGCATCTCCTCTTTCTTGTATTGCCCTCCTTGCCTGATATCCCTTATATTCTAACCTGGGTGGGTGTTGAAATTCACTTACATGAGAGCGAAGTATTTAAAACATTGCCTCGGCTGGGCTTGGTGACTCAGCCTGTAATCCCAGTACTTTGGGAGGCCGAGGTGAATGGATTGCCTGAGCTCATGGGTTTGAGACTTGCCCAGACAACCTGGTAAGTCCTCGTCATTACAATAAACAAAAAAAAATTAGCTGGGTGTGGTAGCATGTGCCTGTAGCTCTGGTTCCTTGGAAGGCTGAGGCGGAAGGATCACCAGAGCCCAGCAGGTCAAGGCTGTGGTGGCCGGGAGCATGCCACTGCACTCCAATCTGGGCGACAAAGTGAGACTCCAACTCAAAAAATAGATAGATAGATAGATAGATAGATAGATAGATAGATAGATAGATAGATAGATAGATAAAACATTGCCTTTACTATGGAACTACAGATCCAAATCTCAGAATCAAATATAATAAATGCTGCAGTTTATAATCCAAACAAAATCATCTCATACCATAGCAATTTTTAGGGGAAAAAATGACACTTACTGCTGGTATATGACCTTATCTTTAGTAGCCCCTGGCCTTTGAAATGTTGATTAATAAACCTTCATGGGATAAGCAGAACACTAGAAGCTATACTATTGTTTGTCTCTAGCCTAAGTCCAAGACAGAACTCTTTGGATAAGGTTCTACATGTCGTAAAGCCTTCTCCTTTTGCAATATCTCACAACCTCTGTCTATATTTAGGCCTTCCCATCACCACCTATCACCACATAAGGCATTAACAGTGGAGCAAAGAGGCTGTCATTTTTTTACACCAAAAGTTCAGAAATGTTTGTTCTAAGATATCATTCCCTATCTTCTCTTTGTATGCCCTTATCAAGTTTTAAGAATAATATTTTGATTCTCTACAATCAAAAAAAAATTTACAAATTTGCATAGAGCTACATATTATGTAGAAATGTAGTGGCAAAGAATTCCAAGGGTAAGAGATTTTCTTTAACTGATTCAATTATGTAAATAAGAAAATGCAAACTGAGTAATTTGGCATTCTCCATTCCTGGAAACAAATGGTTCACGACATTAATAAGAGTAGCTTTTCTTCATGATTATTACTGCTTAATGGGTAATGCTAGAATAGCTCTACCAATTTCAAAGTATGTAAATATTAATAATATTTCCAGACTCTAACACATAATAGAATCAAAACTACATTTTTGGTAACAGCTATAGACAACAGGAGAGACTTTACATTGGCTGCCATTGACTTGAACACTATTTTTTTTCTTCTTAAGCTTTTTATTTTTTGGAACAACACCATATACAGAGTATAGGGAAATTTAGGCCAGCCATTTTCCCTTAAAATGAATGAGTCCTTGTAAGACTTCTAAAATTGAATTGATACAAACTAAACCTCAAATATATCTTAAATTTTAAAATAATCCAAAAGACTTAGTAGAGCAAAAGACTGTCACACACTGGTCCCACACTCATCACATCTTTCAACAAGCTAAGTCTAAAATATTAGAACAGTAATTCAGTCAAAATCATGTTACTAGAAGAGAGTACTTAGTGTTGCCAAAGACCATGTTAGAAATTGAGTTGTGCCTGAGGAAGGGAAGATAGACGGAGAGATTTGGGGTTCAGCTTCAATAGAATGTCAGCAAGTCTGTGCCAAATAAGCGCAGAATATGAACCTAAATTACAAACAGCAGGAGAGGTTCTCTAAAAACCAAGATATTTGTTTAGGAATAGAACCTTGAAATGGGAATATATGCGCCATAGTAAACCACAGGCATATTTAGGAAGACAAGGAAAAACAAAGATTTCTGAAGAAAAAAATAAAAGGATTACACATTTGTTTTGAAATAATTAACTCTGACTACAAAGATCAACAAAAGGGGTGCCACCTGTTAGATGTCAGACAGGCAGTTGCTGGCAGGGCAGATGTCTTTCCAGAATGATCTCTTTGTGCTCGTTTATGTTAGCCTTTGTGCAAGGTTGTGGTTTTTTCAGAGTCTTTTGTGATGATTTTTTATGCTTATTAAGTCTACAAACATGAGAACCCTTTCTGCATGTACTTCCCTGGTTCTGTCTGCTTCTTTTCTTTCTTCTTTTAAACATTAGTGACTCCATTTTGATTTTGACAACTTTCACAAGAAGATGATCATAAATTTCAACTCAGTAAAGAAAATCTCCAAACAAAATGAAGATTTTGAAACTATTCAAATACATTTGAGAGAAAAATTGACCATTAATAGTTTGAAAGGTTAAGAAATGAGCCAGGTTTGCAAGTTATAGTCTTTCCCGCACATTGTATCCAGTGTCTCATATTCTTCTTCCATTCCTGTTTCAAAAGTACAGAAACTGATCACAGAAACAAAAAACAGCGTACCATATGTTCTCACTTATAAGTGAAACTTGAGCAATTATAATACTATAAGAAAGGGATTGGCAGTAGTGGGAAATTGTCAGGGGAGCAGGGGTGGGATTGGCAGTTGAGGGAAACTGCTGGGGGAGGGAGGGGCACAACTTATCAACAAGGGTGCCTAACCCTGAATTATACCCCACATCTTTATGATTTAAAAAGTATAGTAAATATTTTTTTTTAAGTACAGAAACTGGCATGGCAGTGTCTCTGATGTCTCCATTCTCTACTATGATTTTACTCTTTCAATCCTATGGCAGGGATGCTATTTCCACTGTGTCTTAGTGTCATTGCTACCTGGCATATGAAACTTGTCTTCTGTACAAAGAATTTCCCTAGTCACAATAACTGTTTCAATTAAAAAATCAGCATTTGCACATTTTAAATGAAATTTTTATTGATCCTTCTAACCTATGTCCTCCTATAAGTCTAGAGGACATGTATCCTTCTGATATACTCCTCAGATATAGATTGAATAATCTTGCTTATACTGGAATCTTTAAAAGATTCAAGTATTGAATGAGAAAAATGTTTAGTTAAATATAGTCCCATATGCATTTTTTTGTTTTCATTTTTTGCCTGTGGTTTTGAAGTTCAATCATACAATTTTTACTTAGACCAATGTGTTGAGCATTTCTCCTATGTTTTCCTCTAGTACTTTCATAATGTTGGAACTTATGCTTGTGTTTAATACATTTGAACTGATTTTGTATATAATGAGAGATAAGGGTCTAGTTACATTCTTCTGTATATGGACATTCAGTTTTCCCAGCACCTTTTATTGAACGGACTCCCAGTGTACATTCTTGACAATTTTGTCAAATATTGTTGACAATAAATGCATAAGTCTGTCCCAGTGTTCTTTATCCTGTTTCATTTGTCTATGTGTCTGTTTTAACACCAATCCCATGTTATTTGGTTACTGTAGCTTTGTAGTATATTTTGAAGTTAGGTAGTCTGATGCCTCTAGCTTTGTTCTTTTTGCTCAGAATTGCTTTGTTTGTTGGGGTTTTTCGTCGTTCCATATACATTTTAGGATTTTTTAAAAATTTCTGAGAAGAATGTTATGTGTATCTTGATAGAGAATGAATTGGGTCTGTAGAATTCATTGAGTAATATATTAATTAATATTATGTTAAACAATATTAATCATTTTTATCCATCAGTATATCTTTCTGCTCATTTGTGTTCTCCTCCATTTTTAACCAACATTTTTTAGTTTTATTATAAAAAATCTGTCACCTCTTTGGTTAGGTTTATTCCTTTAAAAAAATAAGTATTGTAAATTGGAATGCTTTCTTGACTTCCTTTACATTTAAGTTAGTCCATTATTGGTGTATAGAAATGCTACTAATTTTTCAATGTTGATTTTTTTTCCTGCAATTTTACTGAATTTTTCTTTCAGCTTTATGAGTTCTTTTGGTGGAGTTTTTAGGTTTCTCTGTATATAAATTATGCTATCTATAAAGACAGTTTGATTTCCTCTCTTCTAATTTATATGCTGTTTATTTTTTTTCTCATGACTTATTGCTCATACAAATTTTTCCAGTACTCTGCTGAACAAGAGTGGAAACATAATCTAGTACTTAGAAGAAAGGCTTTCAGCTTTCTCCCATTCAGCACAACATTAGCTGTGGGCTTGTCAAATATGATGCTCATTATGTTGTCATGTTACCTGTATGCCTAATTGCTTAGAGTTTTTTTATCATGAAGGGATACTATATTTTATCAAATGATTTTCTGCATCTATTGAAATAATCACATGCTTTTTGTTTTTCCTTTTGTTGATATCATATACCACTTTTTAAAATTTGTATACATTGAGCCATGTTTGCATCTCTGAGATAAATCCCTTGGATAATACTTGATTGTGGTATATTTTTTAAAATGTGTTGTTGGATTTTGTTTCCTACTATTTTGTTGAGGGGTTTGGCATGCATGGTATGTTCGTCTGTGATATTGGCCTGATATTTTTTTCCTTTTGATATCTGCCCCTAGTTTTATTCCATTGTGCTCTGAGAAGATACCTGAAATGATATTGATTTTTTTTTTTTTTTTTTTGAGTTGGAGTCTCACTCTGTCGCCCAGACTGGAGTGCAGTAGCCGCTCCCGGCCACCGCAGCCTCGACCTGGTGGGGCTCCGGCGATCTTTCCGCCTCAGCCTTCCAAGTAGCTGGAACTACAGGCTCA